GTGAGTCAGGTGGTTAGTCAAATCTGATTCCCGCTCCGGAAGCTCCTAATCGATTCTTTCGGCTGCGGATTAGATGATGCATACTCTACAGCAGCCTCGGGCTCGAGCTCGCAGGCGACACAAGCTGTAGATATAAACTGTGGGTTACAGGGCGAGTTTACTGATATAAAATACCCGTTGCTCTACCCCCTCCCTGGATCAAGTGTTTCTCAAGTTTATTAAACCACATGAAAGGGCACTAATGCAGACACGTTCATTTGATTTGGCGCTTATGCTTCCATCTCGTGTTCGTGTACTCTTTTTAGACAGACTCTGAGGAGTCATGCAGCAGAAGTTATTTGTGCACTGTTTTTGGCGCTTCGAGCTACCAAACATTAGTTTGCCCGACTAATTACTATTTATTTCAGCTCCGCGGCTGCATTGAGCTGAAACAAATAAGTGGAAGAGCTCAGGTGTTTCAGAGTATTTCTTATAGCAAGCTATAACAGTGAGTAGGCGGGTTTCCGCCTCTCTCTTTAACGTTACCAGCTGCGCTGTACTAATGCAGACACCTTCATATGATTTGGCGCTTATGCTTCCAACTCGTGTTCGTGTACTATTTTTAGACGCAGACTCTTGAGCAGTCGCGCAGCAGAAGTTATTTGTGCACTATGTTTTTGGCGCTTCGAGCTACCAAGCATTAGTCTGCCCGACTAATTACTATTTCTTTCAGCTCCGCTGCTGCATTGAGCTGAAACAAAAGCATTGCTTTCCCAACGAAGCACACAGCGTCTTCAGGACATGGCGGCAGCGGCAACAATACTACAGTGAGAATAAAAGTTACGCCTTCTTTCTTTGCGTGAACATTTGGGCGGCGTTATGCAAATCTTCCCACATAGTGAGGTAGATATGTGGGGGCGTGTTCGAACGAGCCGTTTTAGGTAGGTGTGGCTAACTCTTAACTTTTATAAAGAATATCTCTTTGGATTTGAGACTTTAGTCTTTACAACTTTACAGATCTTCTTTATGCACCAAGAGCTTGTAACACTCCAAAGAGAAAGGAAAAAATGAAATCGCATCATATGACCCCTTTAATGTTACCAGCTGCGCTGTACTATTGCAGACACGTTCATTTGATTTGGCGCTTATGCTTCCAACTCTTTGTTCGTGTACTCTTTTTAGACGCAGACTCCGAGGAGTCCTGCAGCAGATGTTTGTTGTGCACTATGATTTTTGCGCTTCGAGCTACCAAGCATTAGTTGCCCGACTACTTATTTCAGCTCTGTTGCTGCGTCGAGCTGAAACAAGTGGAAGAGCTCACGTGTTTCTGAGTATTCTTATAGCAAGCTATAACAGTGAGCTGGCAGGGTTTTTCCCCTCTCTCTCTCTAACGTTACCTGCTGCGCTGCACTGACGCAGTCACGTTCATTTGGTTTGGCGCTTAAGTGTCCAACTCTTGTTCGTGTACTTTTTAGACGCAGACTCTGAGGAGTACTGCAGCAGATATTTTGTCGTGCACCATGGTCTTGGCGCTTCATGCTACCGAGCGTTGGTCTGCCCGAGTAATATAATATTTCTTTCAGCTCTGCTGCTGAGTATTCTTATAGCAAGCTATAACAGTGAGCTGGCGGTTTTCCCCCTCTCTCTCTAACGTTACCTGCTGCGCTGCACTGACGCAGTCACGTTCATTTGATTTGGCGCTTAAGCGTCCAACTCTTGTTCGTGTACTTTTTAGACGCAGACTCTGAGGAGTCCTGCAGCAGATATTTTGTCGTGCACCATGGTCTTGGCGCTTCATGCTACCGAGCGTTGGTCTGCCCGAGTAATATAATATTTCTTTCAGCTCTGCTGCTGCGTTGAGCTGAAACATTAAGTGGCAAGCTGTTTTAACATTTAAAGCTATATGGCTCAGGTTGTAGAGTTGAGCAGACCGGTTTTCCTATCGTTCTCTCTCTCTACTTTCGCGCTACACTAATGCAGGCACGTGCATTGAATTGGTGCTTACGCTTCCAGCTCTTATTTTGTGTACTGCTTTTAGGAACAGACTCTAGGAGTCCTGCAGCGGGTGTTTGTCATACATTATGGTCTTGGCGCTTCATGCTACCAAGCCTTAATCTGCCCGGCTGTTCATTTTTCTTTCAGCTCCGCTGATGCTTTGAGCTGGAACAAATCAGTGGGCACGCTCACATATCTAGAGTAAATTCCTATGGCAAGCTGTTTTACACCTAATGCCATAGTGACTCGGGCTGTGGAGTGAGCGGGTTTTTCCCTGTCTCCACTCCTGCACTGCATTAATTAGGGCACGTACATTGATTTGGCGCTTACGCTTCCAACTGTTGTTCATGTGACTGTTTTTAAGCACGGACTCCACAGCTGACATTTGCCGTGCGCTATGGTTTTTGGCGCTTCATGCTACTAAACACTAGTCTGCCCGGCTAATAATTATTATTCTTTCAGCTCCACTGCTGTTTTGAGCTGGAACAAATAGTGGACTCTGTGCTATGAGCTGGCTCTGTGGAGTTTTGCAACACACATTTGTCGTGCAACATGGTTTTGGCACTTCAGGCTACCAACACTATTTGCATAACTAATCATTATTCTTCTCATCCCAACTGAGATGCACTGAGCTGAGCTACTGTGGGAATGAGTTCACGTGTAAGAGTATCTCTTATGGCAGGCTATTAATGCTCACCATGGTCAGCCTACTTCATGTGATTGATGCAGCGCTTCTGCTACCAACACTCGCTTCAC